AAATTTATCTGACAGAAGTACAATTTTGTAGGAATATATTATGTAGTAAAGGGAAATATTATTTCAGAAACACTACACTCAAATTTACATAAGAAAAACAACATTCGATTTTTCCAATATTCCGACCTTTCCCGAGCTTTAAGAGCCATATGTTCTTTAGACACAATTCCGGTACAAATAAAAATGGGAATTCTATGAAAAATTACCAAAAAATAAAATATTTTCTTAGATCTAAAATCGTTGTGTGTGTATGATTATTTTTGATTTTTATTTATTCAGCATACGCTCGATATTCTCTGTATTAATATCAATTATACGCAACCTAGGAGGATTTATATTTAAATCTGATGTCCTTAACAAATTTTTGATATTTTCCGAACTATTTATAATTTTTAGACTTTTTCAAATCAATTAAATCTGGGTTGTCGGATGTACAAGAAAGGGAAGATGTTCCAATGTTCTAAATTCTATTAATGGTTAAGGATTTTGGAATAATAGCTTTAGTTTCCAAGCGTCTCATCTGAAAACATTTTGTTTTAACAAAGTGATTTTTGAATTACACTTTTCGATGCCATATATTATATCTATCGATTTTTCTTGATGAAGACTCATAACGAAATTCGATGTAGAATATCTGTAGAATATAAAATAGTCTACCGAATATTCAAAAATCATTGTTTTGTCACCTCTTTTATGTGGAAATTATTAATATTTTATATTTTGAAAAATAAAAATAATAATACGCCTCTGTGGAACTTAAAATTAATATAAATTAAACGCTCCATGACTTTCGTATCTTTAATAACATTTTAAAATATTCATAAAAAAATGTAAACTTTTCTTGTGTGTATTTTAAATATTTATTCAGTTTTTTATCTTCTCACTGTTTTATTGACTCTCCAAGTTTTTAATACTCCACTTCAAATAATAATAAAAAAATATTTGAATATAAATCACCAAAAAAGGACATCATATTAAAAATGAAAGCGAAAATGACAAAAAACCGAGAAAATATCTAAAACAGTTGGATACACATTTTTTTCATTTTAAAGTTCAAATATCAACAGGGGACTGATAATAATTTAAATATTTTATATTAAGTATACAACACAATGTAATTCAGAAAAACGGAAATAATTTTCCAAAGAAGGTTGCTCCTATATTAAAGATAATAAAGTGTAAAGTAAGTGAAAATGGCATACTCCAAAATCCTTCGCAAAAAAAACATTTCAGAAGAAATTTTTCTTATAAGAAACTTCCTCTATAAGAAGGGCAATAAAAATGTAAAGTAATGACTATAAATAAACTGTTCTCTTTAGAATTTCTAATGAAATTGAGACAATGGGGTGCGTATAATTATCATACATAAAGTATACAACGTGGTGTACAACTTATATATTTTTGGAATTAATTTTCTAAGATTTTTTTGTTTGGGCCATAAAAACACGTTGAGCTATTAGAATATGTTCGGGAATTGAAGATATAATTTGGGTTTAATTAAATTGTGGCCCTGGTGGCGTATGCGTATGAATAATTCGTTGGCAACCGGTGGCGTATGCGTATTATTTCTTTAATTCGTCAATATTGCGTATACGAAACCTATTTTTACAATATGATTTTCACGGATAATATACTACTGTTATTTTTAACATTTTACCTTATGGAGTTCTTAAGGTCTTCGAATAAATCTGTTTTTATGTTCGACAGGCAATTAAATATTGTGACGTACCAATTTTTTCTTATTTTTCGTTGTGATTAATATTCACTTCTCACGAAACTCGCATATTCTAAACAGATTGCATTTTTCCCACGCCTATTGTGTATTTAAATCATATTTATTAGACTCCCCTTGAAACATCACGAATTAAGTTTGCATCATATTTTCCAGCAATAAAAAACAGTACAGATCCTACAGAGTTTTTTTTTATTTCTTCTGGTCACAAACAAAAGTCATAATGTTTGGCCCAAAGAACAAAGAAGAAGACAAAACATGCTGTGCGAAAAAAACTTAATTTTGTTTCTTGTTCCACTTTTAGTTTACTCCAAATGTTTATGGCCACATTTCGTTTGCAATGTCTGTCCATTCGGCTGTCTATCTGTCGTTCTGTTTGTTTCTTAGGAGAAAAAATGTGCACCTGATTCTCGGTTTTTATTGCCCGCACATAACTTCAAGTTAAAAAGCAGAAGAGGACGAAGAATTGTAGCACATTGCATGGACGTGCAATGACTATGGCAGGCAATCTAACCATGTCCATGCAATGCCTGGCGAAGCGACCCAGAACAACATAATGTGGTAATGGGTGTCAGTATCTTAACTTTTGTTTTATGTGTAAACACATTTGCCAACAGCACGTACCCTCCACTCACTCCGATGTTCATCGTAGAAAGAAGTACCACGTGCCAATGACGTTACTTTTTTTTCTTTGGCTTGCTTTCTTTTTTCTTGTCATGATGTTGTTCACAAAAATATGTTCGCATTTGCTCCTGACAAATAAACCACCACCATCACCTAATACACTACGAAGTTGTTGGTCAGTAGTGGTAAAACGCGTAATATAAATCATTTGTAGTTATTGCCAGTTAGCCTGGAGAGAGTGTGTTGAAAAATATTATCAATTAAAAAACACTCTCTTAATAATGCGGACAGTAACAAATTGCTAAAGATGGTGTGTGCAAGTATGGCAGGAAAACAGGAAATATGGCAGATAAGGGCCATTAAAAAAATACTTTACAAATTATTTTTTAATATTACCTCAAAAAGGTATTTTTTGTGGAAGGTGTGATAAATTATGATTTGTAAGGACAAGGTATTTAGAGGTGAATAAATGATGGAGGAAGTGATCTGTCTGAGATATGAATGGTTAACAACATGAAAAGGCATGTTCTTAATTCCCAAAAGCTTGATGGATTTTTCAAGAGACTTATGGGGTCTAAATTACATTTGAGAATATAGGTGGCGTATGTTGTACATTCACACTCATACGCCACCTTTATATGTCTTGTCTATATATATATATATATATATTATAAAAGCCAAGGATCTCCAATTTCATGTCACCAAAAATTATATTTCTAGGTCATTAGAATCAGAGTTATTCAATTTATATCTAGGTGGCGTATGATGCATGTCCTTACTCATACGCCAACCTGTCTATTGTAATCTTATTTGTTTCTGATTGAAAGTCCTTTAAATTTTACATTTGACTTGAAATTTTCTAAACAAAATTAATTTTAATTTATTGTGACACATTTCAAAATTAATATTGCCTTTTGGAGCTACTCGAAGGTCTACCGGTACAGTATTTACAGTTGATATTTCTTAGCCTTATTTATTTCATCACAGAGAAGCCTAGATGTCCTCTGATTTTCCAAAGTGTCAAATTCCTTTTTTTCTTAGGTCCTCCATAATATTGTATATAGGTTGCGTATGATGTATATCCTTACTCATACGCCACCAAAGTCATGATTACAACCTGATGTATTCTATTATTTCTAGGTGACGTATAATAAATGTCCACACTCATACGCCAACCAGTCTGTTGTAAATTGATTTTTTTAATTGAAAGCCCTGCAACTTTGTCGCATTTTCTCAACAGAATATTTCTTTTAATACTCACAAATTATTGTAATAATAGATTTCCAAAATCATTATCCGGGATAGATAGATTTTTTGGAAATTTTCCCGAGATTTCTGAGGTCTAGATTACATGTCCTTTAACACACTTCTACTTTCTTCATAAATGGGTAATTTTGTAGCAAAGTACAAATATCTAGGTTGTGTATGTTGCGTATCCACACTCGTACGCCACCTTCTTTATTCTAAAATGATGTTGTTGTTGTTTTCTTGTTATCATTCTTCATTCAAGGAGTACAATATAGATTTATCAATTTTTTCATATTACTAGAAAGCTATTTTAAATACTGATGTCTTAAGGACTTGTTGTGACGTCCGAGGTGCTCTTAATAAATATATCTATTTCTCAAAATACCTTTCCTATCAGAAAAGTTTGTTAGGCCTCGAATTTTTTAATAAGTCCATGAAGTCATTTGGATGGATTTGGGAAAAAACACAACCTTCCTACGACATCTAGAAGCTGAGTTATATTTGAGCAACCGGGTGGCGTATGATGCATAACCACACTCATACGCCACAAGACACAGGGTAACAATATTTTTAGTTGTTCCTACGTTTTTTTGTTATTGTTTTGAGAATTTTAAAATTTTCAACATAAACAGCTACTCCAAAAAAGTTTTCCCCTTCTTTATGGTGTTTTAAATATTAAAACACCAAAACCTTGTAAAGAAAAATAATCCAATAAAAAACTTTGCAGCCTAGCAGAACCAACAAAAATTTGTTTCTCATTCACACTTTGTTGACAATACCCTAACAAAAAAATTTTATTTTATACACATGAATAATTTAGTATGCTAAGAAAATATTTATGACCAAAAAAACACAAAACTAAACCAAAAATATAAGAAAGTTTCCAAAACGAGGGAAAATAACAATAGCAAGTGGCCATGGAACTGCATGTTTTGTGCAGAGATATTTCTGTCACGTCCTTGCTATCATTTTTGCTTAACGTAAACTCAAGTGTTTTCGAAAAATTGTTGTTCTTCTTTTCTTAATTTTATTGTTAAGTAGTTTTCCCTAAATATTTAACCATAGTCACCCCAAAATTTATATATATTTTTCAAACCTAAAATTAAGTTTTTGTTTTTTTTCTAATACTAATTTTTTGTTTTGTTTTCATTTTTTATTTTTTTATTTTCTAATTACTGTGCATGATTCTATTCCTTAATCCTGTGTTGTATGCATGTTAACTATTGTTGTTGTAATTTTGTAAACCACCAATCAACAAAAATAAAAAATGCCATGAACCACCATCACCAACAAAATGCACCTTTCTTTGCTGTGCTACACTCTTTCCTCGACTGGCATATCATCTGTAATCCTGCATGCTGACAAAACAAAATCTTGCGAAAAACATAAAACAGTTAGCCTAATATCGACTCCATCAAATTTTTGTCCATTTAAAGAACAACCATTGCTGGGACCGGGCGCTGCATTCCCACCATTTGCCGGACCAGAATTCCATCCCACCACACCGGAAAATTGGAAAGGTGCCAGTGTCCATCCCACAGCATTGATGAAAGAAACAGCAGCAATACCCGGCCGCAATACAGCAGTAGCTGCATTTACCGCCCAGGGACAGGCACAGGTGAGTAAACACAAAATTCAAACCAAAAATAAATAATAAAATTAACATTTTGAATATTTTTTTTTACAAATTAAAAAAAATATAATTTTTGCATAAGGGGAGCGTATGTGTATTTTTAATTCACTTTCACTAAGGCGTATGAGTGGTGTCTACAAAATAACAAGCATACGTCCGATAGCCTTTATGGAAATTACAGTTTCAGTTTCTAAGAAAATAGGTATTCAATAAAAAAAATATTGACCTTTGGATCGACTACCCAGTCTTTGCCTCGACAATCATATCCATAGAATTTCATTGAAGAGAAAACAGGTATTATTGTGATTTCATAGTATTCCGCTGAAGAACACCAGAGTATTTGGTTTACAAATTATCTACGCTTCCCTCAAAGTACCTCTACCTCTTCCTTCATAGAAGGTCCACTACATACAATTCATAGAATAGCTGTGGGACTTCGTATAGAAGTTTCATTGAAGGGAGACTTTTTTCCTTGGTCCTAAAATAAAAATTGAGTACTGAAATCTTTCAATATTCTTTAAATAGACCTCGAAAAAATATTTTAAAAAATTCACGCCTTGCGATGAACTCGAAACATTATTTTAATAAACCTTCGCCTGCGATGGACTCAAAAAATTTTTTTAATAAACCTAAGCCTGCGATGGACTCGAAAAATTATTTGTAATGAATCTACGCCTTTGATAGATCACGAAAAAAAAATATTTTTAATAAATCCTCGCCTTGGGATGGACTCGAAAAAAATATTTTTAACGAATCCAGTAGAATATCTTCTAAACACTTCCAGTAGTTGTACATAAAATTCTCTAGTTTCACTACAAGAAAATATAAAATTTTGGTCAGAAAACTATCTTTGGATTCATATTAATAGAAAATTATCCAAGATTTCGTATTGATGGTCGTAAATATCCATTCGCAACCAAAATATGTCTCCAGTTAAATCTCGATATTCTATATTCTGAGCTTTTCAATAGCCAAATTTCCTAAATTCTGGTCATATTTTGCCTTTCCATTTAAAACCCGACCAGAAAGTTTCCAATTTCGTCTATGGTGGCGTATACCTACCGTCATAACTCATACGCTACCCCCACACACTGACATTAAAAAAGCAGCTATTTATTAGCAAACAACAACTTTTGTTCATTTATTTTTTCTCTAACTAACACAAAAACAACATTTTTTAAATTAATTTATTTATAGTTTCAGTTTTTTATTTCTTAAATAATAATAAATTGTTATTTTTGCTTACCTTTAACCCCCACGTCATTATTCATCTATTTTATATAGGGTGCTGTCATGATGGTTTATGGCCTGGATCAGGATACATCGAACACAGATAAACTCTTCAATTTGGTGTGCTTGTATGGAAATGTTGCCAGGGTAAGTTTTTTTCTTTATTTATTTTGTATAAACAAGAATAGTATGTTAATAAAAAGTGGAAATAAATAACTCAAAGAATACCTGTAATTGAGATGTAGGTAGAATAGGAAAAAAAATATTTAAGGGGTTTTTGTAATAAAAAAAGTTGTAAATATTATAATAAATGGCAAAACAATTTATTAGAGAGTTGAGAAAAAATAGAAAAAATCACCAGCAAATTTTAAAAATGAACTAAAAATAAAAATGTTTTTAAAGAATAGGGAGCGTGTGATTAACCTCAATTGTTTGGTATTTGGTATTGCTGCGTATGATTGTTGTCATAACTTATACGCAAAGAAAAAACAAACAATTTAATGAATTAAAACTTGAATGTGTATAAAAAGTGAATCATTTTATGGATCTTTTTAAAATGAATCGTTATATGGACATTCTTAAAAAATAACAATTAAATGAATTAAAAGAGGGAGCGTATGCTTAACCTCAATTAGTTGTTGCGTATGATTGTTGTCATAACTTATACGCAATGCAAAAAATAACAATTTAATTAAATAAAACTTAAATGTGTATAAAAAATCAAACGTTATATGGATCGTTTTAGAGAAGGGTCAATATGTACTTTCATAGAAAATCCATAAATATGTTGGTTGGTAAAAAATCACCTCAGTCTTCTTGTAACTTGAAGTTATACATTTATAGAAAGCAAATAAACATTATTATATATAAGATCTAGCAAAGAATGCCAGAATGTTTACTTAAAAAATATCTTTATATTTTATCATTCAATTCTGCGAGGTACATATGTTTATATTAGAAATTCTGTAAGATTTCACATAGACAGTTTTTACTTCAACCTCCAAATCTTTGCAATTTTCTCTATTTCGATTTCAAATATTTTTCAATCATATTTGACAAAAAAAAATCGATATATTCTTCTTGAACATTTATAAGAAGAATATTTTACAAAAAAAATCGATATATTCTTCTTGAAAAAAATTAAATATTAAATTGTAAATTTGATATTCATCATTATCTCTATGAGAACCAGGTTGCGTATGACTGCTGTCATAACTTATACGATACAAACAAATATTTTAAATTTATTATTTAAGACATTTACATTTACAATTTTATGGCGAATTCAGTATTTTTTTTAGTAGACCAGTTTAGTTAATTGAAAAAAAAATTAACTCAATATATTTATATATAACATACAGCTAACCGATTGGACTTTTATGAAGTCATACATTTAGGTCCAATAGATATATAGCTGTTAGAAAAATCAACTGCCCTACTTACCATATCATTAAATAGTTTCGAATTTAGTTTAATGGTATCATTTAAAGGGCTTACAAAATTTTTTAGAACAATTGCCTACATAATTTTAAATTTTTACAAATTAAATTTTAAAATTTTTACAATGAAACCAATTTAAATAGGTTTCGAATTTCTTATTAAACTTTAAACTGGATTATTATTAATTATCAATTTAATACATTTTGAACTTAAAAATGTGAAAAAATTCTAGATTTTAAATGTTTACTAGCATAGGCCATATAGCGTATGATTATTGCCACAACTCATACGTCTAGAATTATTTGAGAGCTCTTCCACAATGCTATTATGGCGTATGATTATTAACATAACGTATACGTCTCAAATTTTTATCATGCACATGTTCCTTTTTGTAATTTGTAAGAATCACAAATAAAGATTTATATTTTTTGAATATTGTGACGTATGATTATTGCCATCAATCATACTTCGTGGATTTAAATATTTCGACTTCATTCGCCAACTTCAAAGGAAGCAAAAAAGAAGGACCTCAGCTCCTAAGAATAATTTTTTCTAAATATAATTTCAAAATTGTGTTTAAAAATTCGATGGATGGTCTGATTACTGCCACAATTCAAATAGAAATGTTTTTTTTTATAAATCTTAAATCTATTCAAATTTATGAATTTCTGTTTGCCCTTGTTGCGTATGATTTGTGTCAACACTTATACGCCGTTGAGGTTTATTTTAGATTTTTTCTGTATCAAATTTTTTAGAAATTTAAAGCCAATTTCTACACCCTTTGGCGATCTTGAGTTATTTATCATAAGTTTATTACAAAAATATATAGGATATTCTGGCCTATGAGTACAGACCGAAATCACACGGTCTGGATAGATATAAATAATCCAAATTATTAACTTCCAACAAATTGTTATGACAAAAACAATTTTTATAACGAGAAAAACAAAAGTTCCACATGCAAGGATCATGCCACAAAATTATGATTTATTAATTTTGTTCTATGACAAATGTAATCTTCATTATAACTCCCTACAAAATTGAGTCATTTATGATGAGTTTATTATAAAAATATATAGGATATTCTGACGTATGAGTACATATCGAAATCATACGCCACCGGTGGTGTTCTCTTAAAGTAATTAAAAAAGTTCGAATACTGTGACGTATAAGTATTGAGCACACTCATACGCTTTAATTATTTTTTATTTTGTTTTTTATTATTATTATTTTATATTTTTATTATTATTTTTATTGCTCAAAATACAAAAATTATTACTTCCTTTTGGAGATTTTTTTTAGATTACAAAACTGTACACATATGCATATATCTAATACCTATTTATATATAAGTAACTAATGTTACAGCAAAACCCCAATTTATTTAAACAAAAAGCCAAGCCCTCTGCTGCTGCTTCTGCTCACTTAAATCCAAAAATGTAAATAAATTCTACTACTAGAATATCCTTTTGGGAAAATGCCAACAAAAATTATGGCTCTAATAGTTTAATATAAGTAAGCAAAAAATGCAACAACAACAAAGTAATTTAAAGAGAAAACCACACACACACTCTCATGCACATAAAATCTAATACTTCTATATAGTACATAACAGTTACCATTGATATTAGTATTGTATATATGAATGTGTAATAAATTAAGTAACATATTACCATGAGAGAGATCGAGTGGTCGTGAGTGCGTGCGTCTCTCTCTTACTTGTTAGTATGTCAACAAATCATTCAGCCAGTAATACACATAAACATAACATTGGTTAAGCCTTTTTGCCTTGAAAAATAAATTCAAAGTTATTTAGGGGAGCTTAACATAAAATAGAGCACTTGCAAAGAGGCAATTTAGTAAAGAAAGTTGCAGGGGAGGGAATCGGAAATTTATGGCAAAAAAACAAATGAAACCACCAATGAAAGCCATTCTAGAGATAACTTATAACCACATTATTATGTAAATGTAGATAAGTTATTAGTATTATTATATATGTATGTATATTCGCAGTAAGAAGTTAACCCACAAATGTGTTAACATAAAAAGGTTACGATTTGAAGAAGGTCACATGGTTAGGCCTATGCTTTGTTGTGGTTTGTTGACTCCAATCATCATTTGTCTTGGGGCTTATATACAAATTATCCAAATTATTAACTTCCAACAAATTGTTACGAAAAACAAATTTTCATAACGAGAAAAAGACAAAAATTTGACATGCAAGGATCATGCCACAAAAATTATGATTTATTAGTTTTGTTCTGTGACAAATAATAACTTCCTACTAAAGCCAGGGCTGAAAATAAGAAATAAAATAAATATCACAATAATGTTACCAATTCCCCACAACTTGTATGGAAATATAAAAATACGTGCCACAAAAACATTAATAATTAGTAGAATTAAAAATTTGTCAATGATATAAATATATAAAAAAAAATGTTTACAAATAATGTAACACAAGATCCTCACCTGTCTCTGCTCAAGATTTTTCTTTCTGATAATTAAAAAATATTTCGTACAATATCTTAAAACATGATTTCTAGATAGCATTGTAAAATATATATTTTTTTTCAATCCTGAATTCTGACAGTAAAGTATTTCACACATATAGAAGTAAACTATTTAATTAGCAATTTCCTTAGAATATGGGAGCGTATGACTGTTGTCAACACTCATACGCCACCGATAGCTTGAAGAACAAATCAAAATTATAGGCATATCTTGGAATATCTAATTGAGATACATTAATATTATAGTCCTAACCTCAAATGCAATAGATTTGAGAAATTTTAGATTGATTAACTTAAATTACAATATATTTAAATTATTATTCATCTACCAAAAAACTATCAAAAATCGAAATATTCTTTTTGATACGCTTAGAAAAAAAATATTCATTAAAAATTCTGAAGTAATTTAATTTTTTATTTAAATTCATGTTTATAGAAGGTCCTTGAAAAAATATTTTTTTAATCCACCATTTATAAAAGGTCCTTAGGAAATATGCTGAAAAAAACCAAGGTTTAAAAGGTCCCTAAAAATATTATTAGAGAATTTCTAAAACAATTTCTTTTTACATAAGGAAGTTTCGAGTCCATATTATAAAACATTTAAAAATGTTTATCTCTTCTCAGTTATTACAATTTCAAAACTGTTTTATGTCACCCTCAAATTATGGCATTTTTATCTTCCTTTCAAACATTTACAAATTCCCATGATATGCTATCAAAAAAATACTAAAGATAATCATCTCTTTAAAAAATGATATTTTATGAGCCTTGTCATTCATTTGTTTAGAAAATAAAAAAACTTTATTATTTTTTTCCTCATTTTTATTTAGGCTCTTGTGTATTTTGAAATATTATCATAGTCAGTCTCAGCCCCAGCTTCTTTATGCAATGTACACACGAGTGTGTATTTCCCTCTCTATGAGTTGTGAGTTCAAAAAAATACCATTTGTCCCCTATTATTATTTTCTCATTGTTTTGTTTTCTATTTTTCAATTTAGTTTCCTTTTCAGTGTCGTAACACTTGACAGCAATTTACATTTTGTCGTTATTTGTTTGTTGTTGCTATCATTATTATCATTGTTGCAAAAGAAACATAAGAAATAGCGGCACAAATGTAATATCTTTTATATTGTTTTGCTGTTGTTGTTGTTGTGTAGATTTATTTACACACTTTTAAATAACAACAAACGTTAA